CAGAATTTATATTGATTGATTATGGTGAAGTCAATGCCTTAGTACCTCATATCTTGGTTAGGTTTAATTTAATTGTTATTTTCCTTTTATTATTTTTTTAGTTAAACTTTCTTCCCATTTGATTGTTCAAATAAATTTAGATTAATTATTTTGGTACTTAATTAGACACAATCCTCGTGGGTTCGACACTTTTCTCATCATTATATTACTTGGAGCGACTAGTACACTTGCTAGGGTGATTTTAGTGCATCAACATGATCCAAATAGTTTTCATAGAGATTATCTACAGTTTTAAATTTAAACTATAGATAGGATTAGTTAGATGATGATTTGGAGAATATCTCTAGGTAGAGGTTAAAAGGATCTTAGGGAATAGTAGAAGGGTCAGAAATAGAATCTTAAATTCTGTACTTCTTCCTCCATTAATGAAATCCTGGTGACTTCAATTGATTGGATAATTTAAACTATTTTAAAGTGTTAACATTTGACGCCCACCGTGGGGCCGATTGTTGCTCATGGTGAACCATTACAATTAAGCAATGGCCAATAATCGACGAAATTATTATGTTGCAAGTTCAACTACAACCCAATCTTCATCTTCACAAACTTCTACTCGGCGAGCCCCGAGATTAGGTCCTTCTAGGCCTAGGCTAACAAGGCCTAGAAATACAGTAGAGGATTAAATTCAATACCTCACCCAGAATATGGCACAAATGGAGAGAAGCATACACGCAATTGAGCAAGTAGTGATGCTTCTAATAGAAAACCATGGCCAACTATGTTTGCAGCTGGTTTGCGCACGTTGAGCTCGTGTACCACCAAGGAGGTATTCTCCATTACAAATTGTTAGAAATCAATGGTGCACTCCCCAATCACAGGATCTTTTGTTCCCTTGGTGTAGAGAAAAGGTTCAAATGTGGAAACATAGGAAAGCGATCTTGACTCTATCCTATCACAACGGTCAACAAGTGCAGACAATATCAACACTCTCAAGCCAACCTTGGCCTTTTCAGTCTCGCATTGGCACTTCTATCCTCATAGGTTGGCACATGTAACACACACCTGGACTAGAGGCTTTACGAGTGCAAATACTCACAAGTCGTCAAGCAGAGTCCAAGCCTAGCATCACTCTAAGGGTGATGAACCTACACAAGCTAGTTTGGAGGATAAAATAGCGATAGCTAACTACAAGGCACAATTAAATTGCCTGCAAAACTCCTTTAGGGAGCAAAATGAGACTCTACAAAAGGACATGGAAACTTTGTGCTAATAGCTGGCAAAGTTGCAAATGGTATAGCAACAGGTAATAGATGCTCCACAAATAGCCACGATAGGTGATCCATTCTTTGACAAGATAATTAAACCCATGCCTCCATCATTCAAGCCAACTCAGTTGACACAATATGATGGATCACAAGACCCGGTAAAGCATGTGTGGAATTACAAGCTAGCAATGATGATTTACAAAGTGTCTAATGCATTATTGTGCAGAGTGTTCCCTTCTACATTGAAGGAAGCAGCTCAAACCTGGTACCTTAAGTTAAAAGCTAAGTTTATTAACTCTTTTGAACAATTAGAAAGATGTTTTATTGAGCATTTTACTACTAGCAAAGTCCCAAAAAAGACTAACCACCATCTAATGAGTATCAGGTAAAAGATTGATGAAAGTTTAAGGGCTTGCATTGCTTGTTTCCATAATGAACCTTTGTAGGTGGATAATTAGGATGAAGGAGTGGCAATGCATGCCTTGATGAATGGCTTGAAAGATTGTGATTTCTTGCATTCTCTAAATAGAGAAGAACCAAAGAGCCTTAAAGACATACTTCACAGGTCAAAAGGCTATATTTGAGCTAAGGAGCATGCTACAGTCAAGAAAGGTAGTGAGTCTCTAGAACCTAACTCAATTGTAGCAGGAAATAAAAAGTGAAGGTTTGATAAGTCAAATGACATAGCTAATGTCAGAGGAGGGGAGGAATTGGCAAAAATCTCAAGAAGGTTAAATCCCTATTTTGGTCCCTTTACTTTGATAAAAAGACCCTTTTTAGTCATTCTACTTAAAAAAACCCTTTTTGATCCTTATAGTTTGAAATCCGACCCTTTTTTAATCCCTCCGTTAAGTTTTATAGACGTGGCATGTTAGATGATGGGAATTTCAAAGTAGAAGGACCAAAAAGGGGGTTAAAAAGGAGTTAAAAAGGGATTAGAAATAGCCTCAATTTAGTCTCTCTACTTTGGAAAAATGCCCCTTTTTGATCCCTCTTCTCTGAAAGTTCCATCATCTAACATCAAAACTTAATGAAAGGACTAAAATAGGGCCAGATTTCAAACTTTAGGGACCAAAAAGGGCCTTTTTTAAGTGGGGGGACTAAAAAGGAACTTTTTACCAAAGTAGAGGGACCAAATTGGGGTTTTAACCTCTCAAAAATTATTGCTCTACACCACAAAAGGTGCCAAAGGTGTATACCATATTTATGCCTTTAAACACCTCCATGGCGCATATACTTATAGTGGTGAAGGAGACAAAACACTTCAACTGGTCTGAAAAGCTTCATAGTAATGGTAACAAGTGTGATAGGACTTGTCACTATTCATTCCATGGGATCCATGGTCATGATATAGAGGATTGTAAGTAGCTCAAATTGGAAATTGAACGATTAATTCATAAGGGGGCGTTGAGGCAATTGATTGGGCATCTAGAAAGCTAGAGAGGAGCAAGGCGAATGGAAAGGTCACAAGACAATAAGAAAGCTAGTAGACACAAAGAGAAGAAACCTTTAGATGTTGTGGGGGTAATTAGCGTTATAACAATCTCGCCTTCAACAACTCCAGCATGTATGGCTTTAGCAGTCAAAGGAAGCCATGAAAGCCAACCTTCAACTCAAACCATTACTTTCATTGGGAAGGATTTGGATCAAAGGGAGGTGTTCCCACATGAACCACTAATGGTTGAAATAGTGGTGGAAGATAGAAACCTACAAAAGGGGATGGTAATAAAGCATGTTTTGGTGGACATAGGGAGTTGTAGAGATGTGATGTGTTATGGAGCATTCAAAAAGCTAGGAGTATCTCCATAACTGATGAGACCTTCTGATTTTCCATTGGTAGGCCTTTTTGGGAAATCTATGCCTGTAACAGTGGTCTCCATGCAAGTAATGATGATAAAGTTCCCTACGCCGAATGGGGTTGGAATGGCAAGAGGGAAGCCCATTGAAGTAGTGGAGCCAATAGCATAAGCTTAAGACCAAGTTCAAACATCAGAACCTAATAAACCAAAAGTCAAAACATTGGGATTTGGTGGCTCTTGGAGATATTGTTAGGGAAAAAACTCTGAATGTAGACAGCCTAGACATGAGAGAGGAATTGAAGGAATGTCGGACTGAGCCAATTGACCAGGTTAAACCTGTGGTTCTTGATGAGAGGAGGCCCAAGCGTACAATTAACATTGGAGTAGACATGGATCCAAGCTTTGTAGCAAGACTGGAAAATTGCTTAATGGAGCATAAAGACATTTTTGCATGGTGTTTGGTAGATATGCCAGGTATCAATCCAGAGGTTGCATGCCATAGGCTTATAGTTAACCCAAATGTTGTTCCTATTAGACAAAAAGTGCAACAATTTGGGGTTGAAAGGACTGCAGCTATTGAAGAGGAGGTAGCAAAGCTTAAAGAGGCAGGATTCATTCAAGAGATTATTTTTTCTAAATGGTTATCAAACATGGTGATGGTGAAAAAGGCTAATGAAAAATGGCGAATGTGTGTGGACTTTACAGACTTAAACAAGGTATGTCCCAAAGACAACCATTCTATGCCAAATATTGATAAACTAATTGATAATTCCTCTAGTTATGTAGTTTTGATTTTATCTGATGCATACTATAGGTATAACCAAATTCCTATGGCAAAGGAGGATAGGGATAAAACGGTGTTCATAGTAGCAGGTGTGACTTATTGTTATGTTGTCATGCCCTTTGGTCTAAAAAATGTAAGAGCCACCTATTAGAGGTTTGTTAATAAGATATTCATATGTATGAAAGGTAAGTGTGTTGAAGTTTATGTAGATGATATTTTGGTGAAAAGCAAAAGCTTAGACCAACACATTGAAGACATGAAACAAGTTTTCGAGGTACTCAAAACTCATAACATGAAGCTGAATCCTACAGAATGCACTTTCGGTGTTAAGGCTGGGAAATTCTTAGGATTCATGCTAACAAGCAAATGCATTGAAGCCAATCTAGAGAAGATTTGTGTAGTGTTGGAGATGAAACCTCCATCCTCAATAAAGGAAGTTTAGAAGCTAATGGGAAAGGTCGTTGCATTGAGCAAGTTCATATCAAAATCTAAAAAATGGTGCCTACCTATTTTTAAAACCTTAGGTGGCAATACAAATTTTGAGTGGACCTCTAATTGTCAAAGAGCATTTGATTAGTTGAAGGCACACTTATCATCTCCACTGTTGATAAGCAGGGTAGTCCCAAGTGAGAAATTGTACCTGTTAATACTTTGAGCACTGAGGCAATCAGTGTTGCATTGATTAGGGTAGATGGAAACAAGCAGAAGCTTCTGTATTATGTTAGCAAAGTGTTGCAAAAGGCTGAGACAAGATATAAGCCTTTGGAGAAGTTGGCCTATGCTATAATTATCTCTGCTAGATGTCTCAGGTACTACTTCTTTGGTTATACGATAGTTGTTTTGACTAATTACCTATTACGGTAGATCTTGCACAAGCTAGATTTGGTAGGGAGACTTGTAAAGTAAAAGTATTGAGCTCACAGAGTTTGAACCAGAGTTTCAGCCATGGAGAGCAATGAAAACACAAGCATTGGTAGATTTCATAGTAGAGTTAAGTAAGGAGGAGAAGGCTATAATGCAGTCACCACCCATAGATGTACCATCTAAGAGGAAAGCTCTAGAGTCAAAGAAACCAACAAAAATCCTATCTTCTAACCTTGTGTAGAACCTATATGTTGATGGGTCTTCTAATGTAATAGGAAGCGAGGCGGAAGTAATCTTAATTTCTTTGGAGGGAGAAACTTTTGAGTGTGCATTAATGTTTAATTTTGAGGTTTCGAACAACAGTGTAGAGTATGAAGCATTTCTTGGGGGATTGAGACTTGCCAAGGCGACAGGAGTAGAGTACTTGAGGATTTATAGTGATTCATAACTTATAATGAATCATGTCAATGGTGACTTCAATGCAATGGAACAAGTATTGGCTCAATATTTGTCTTTAACTATGCAATTTTTACAATCCTTCTAGGGATATGAGTTGAGCCAAGTAAGAAAATCAGAGAACCTTAGAGCCGATGCCTTGGCAAAGTTGGCAAGCACAGGGCTGGGTACATCAGGAGTATAAGTCTACATAGAGACATTTTCTTCACCTAGTATAGAGATGGAAAATGCTTTGCCAACACAGGAGGAGCAAAGTTGGGTAGATCCAATCCTCACTTTCCTTAAAAGTGGAATCTTACTAGAAAACGAAAAAGAAGCTAATAGGTTACAGAGAAAAGCTACTTGGTACACAATTTTTTATGGGCAACTTTATCGTAGGTCTTTCACACATTCTTTATTGAAATGTTTAGGGCTTGTAGAAGGACAAATGGTATTAGAAGAAGTGCACGAAGGACTTTGCTCTAGCCATATGGCAGTGGATTCTCTAGCACATAAAATCCTTCACCAAGGCTATTTTTGGCTTACACTAAAAGCTGGCACTAAAGTATATGTCAAGAAGTGTGATAAATGTTAGAGGTTTTCCCATGTCTAACATCAACCTGCTAACCTTTTGCATATGATAGTAGCCTCATGGCCTTTTGCTCAATAAGGGATAGATATCCTTAGTCCTTTCCCCGAGGCTAAAGGAAGAAAGAAGTTCCTTATTGTGGCCATAGATTACTTCACTAAGTGGAATAAGGCAAAACTAGTAACTCGAATATTAGAACAAAAGGTAGAAGAGTTCGTCCAAAAACATATTATGTGCTAGTTTGAGATGTTAAGGATTCTAGTTACAGATAATGGAACGTAATTTGAAAGTGAAGCCTTCAAAGATTTCTACGAAACAAAAAAGATAGAGAGGAGGTTTTTGGTAAGAGCATAGTTAAAGACAAAAGGTTTGAGTTTACAGCAAATTGAGCAGAGGTTTACTTTTGTAGCTTATCCAGAATCTAATGGGCAAATAGAGGCAGCTAATAAGGCTATCTTGGAAAGTTTAAAGAAGAAGATAGGGTCTGCAAAAGGAACTTGGACAGAGTTACCATATACTTTGTGGGTGTACAGAACAATGCATAAGACTCCAACAGGAGAAACTTCATTCAACTTAACATATGACTCAAAAGCTGTGGTGCCAGTTGAAGTTAAGATACCAAATTACAGAATGAGCTATTTTAATGTAGACTCCAATGAACAAGCTTTAAGGGAGAATCTAGATCTTTTGGAAGAAACTAGGATCTGCCCCAAATCCGTGTTGCCCATTACCGTAGGAGAGTGGACAAGTACTATAATAGTAAAGTTAGACCCAAGGACTTACGCCAAGGAGACTGGGTCTTACGAAAGGTAGAGGTCACAAAGCGCAATTCACGTGAAGGGAAGTTACGCCCCAGTTAGGAAGGACCATATTTGATTCAAAAAGACTTGAGTAATGGAGCTTTTAAACTTGTTAAGCCTGGTGGAACTTCAATCCCAAGGACTTGGAATGCAGCTCATCTGAAGAAGTATTATGAGTAATTTTTTCTTATTTTAATGAGGTTGAATAAATTTTGTGAATAAGACCTTTGCTAATGTTGCGTGTTACTTTGAATAGCATGCTTAATTTCTTTGATTTTATCTAAATGCGCAAAATTTTGTAACTTGACTTTGTTTTGAAGGTCAGGGAGTCTATCCCGGGAAAACACCGTTGAAGAGCAGTGACAACTGGTTAACCTTAGGGCCTAAGGAAAACCAGTTGCAATAGTTTTCTCATTGAAAACTAAGACACTTTTAAGAAGGTGTCATGCTAAATCAACTTTCTAAAAAAGTAAGTTGGTAAAAATTGTGACAAAACATGGAAAGCCAACGTTCAAAAACTTTCAAGGAAATAAATTTATTCTAACAAAAATAATATAAAACTAAGAGCTAGAAGCTTCATCTTGAGAAGAATCTTCATATTTAGGGTTGCTGGAATTGCACTCTTGGTCCTCAAATTCTTCTCCTTCATTTTCAGAACAACATTCTTTAGAGATCTTCTTCATCCCATCCTCAAACATTTTCTTCAAACCTGGATCTTGTTTGATTTCCTCAAAAATGTTAAGCTATTGGATACTTGGAATATGATCACCTTTAAGCATGCCTCGTTCAAGTATAAGAGTTTTCATGATGGATATAGCAAGATGAAAATGATCTATGTAGCCACTTAAAGCCCAAGTTTGACCTTCTTTTGACCTCTTAAATTTATGGATAGTGTTGGTTGAAGTGTTGGTGATTTGCATTTGAAGACTTGCATTTTGAGATGAAAACTCTATAACTGATTGTTCAAGCTTATCTAATTTACGTAGGTAACCCTTTTTCTCATCTTGAAGAAGTTAAGCATCTTTCCTTGCTGCCTCCAAGGCAAAATGGTTAGCTTTCATTACCTTCTCATTTTTGTCTTTCTCTTTCTTTAATGAAATGTAATTTTCATGTGAGTTCACAAAAAGGTTCTTAAAATTTTCTAGCTCAACAAATAGAAGCTCAGATCTCTGCACTGCAACATTTTTCTCTTCATCAAGTCGAAGACATATCTAGATAACATCACCAAACAAGTTCTTGGGCTTTGTAGCCTCCTACTCTGCGTAAAAGCTAGCATCCTCATTCTTAAGGTAATCCTCTTTTAATGTTTGGTGGTAAGCCATAACCTAGAGATTGAAAATTTAATTTAAGAACAAAAGTTTCTAGAGCATTAAAAACAAAAAAGGATAAGAAAATTGCAAACCTTTGCGAGATAATGATTAGTTTCATGCCATCATGTCTCTACTGTAAGTTTTTTTTAGGTGTTTTTTGTCTTCCTTTGTGAGAACATTCTTTGATAGCTGGTATGCAAATGAGCTTTCTTAGAGCACTGATCTTCCTCTCATATTCGAATTATATCCTAAAAACATTGAAGAAAGATTATTGGGTACGTAAAAAAAAGAGAAAGCTAAAAAGAGTTTAAGGATTTGAAGATACCTGAGTCAAGATCAAGCTCAGAAGAAATAGGCTTCCCAGCTTGATTTTTTCTTGTGACCAACATCATGATAGAAGACAATAACTCTCTATCAGTCTCTTGGAGTTTCTGCAATCGATCCCATATTGACAAGGTGCTGTAGGATTGTTGGTTCTGACTGGATTCTATAGTGCAAGTTGTTGTTTCTAGGAGAACAAAAGGGATATCGGAAGATTGTTTTGTTTGCCTCGTTGGAGAGTTTGGGCGGTCCTAAGCTTCAGGAATTTCCATGGCAATTGACTCTTCTTCCTTAATTGAATTCTTATTTCTTTTCGCACGATGATTTAGCAAATTAAGTGCAATTATGGTAGAACCTACGTCAGCAACATCTTATTAGAAATGGTTTTTGAGACTTAAGGATTTGAAGAATGAGCAACAAAGAATTCTGACATACCTTTTGCAGAGCTTTCTTTCCTTTTTTTTTTTTTTTTTTTATCACTTTTTTGAAAGGAAGTCTCAAGTTTCTTTGTAGCCTCAAAGTCTAGGAGGAGATTAAGGATAATGACCATTGAAGGCGCATGGTGATTGTGTCAAACTTTAGATCTAATAAGATTGCCTTCATCAAGTAAGACCTCTGCTCTTATAGAATTGTTGTTAAGGAGTTTGTTAATGACAAGGTACAAGGTACAAGTTAGCATTAAGGAGAAATTTTGGGGTGTTCGTCCTGCCAATCCTCCAAACGATAGGGAAATTAGAGTTCTTTTGGGCCCTCCAAGAAGAGAAATCTTTCTTGCTAGTCGGTTTTCCCTAAGGTTGGAAGAGAATTAGGTAATGCTGCATTGTCATATTTAATTATACTACCTTCAAAACATTCGATTTCTAAGTGTCTCCTGTAGATGGAGTACCAGGCACTAGTTCCTTCCTAAGGTTTGAGCTAAAATAAGAAAGTGAACGCCTCAATGTTCAAAGGGACACTTAGTAGCTGGCACTTTACGATGAAGGCAATTATGACCATTATCGAGTGTGGATTGAGTTGGGGAAGACCTACACAAAATTCATCACAAACCTGGATGATGAAAGGATGGAGTGGAAACTAAAGCTGTGAATGATTCTCATCCATTAACCAAGTAGGGTTACAATATTTATAGTATGTATATACAAGTGAATGACTTATCTACCCTTGAATATAATACACTGTCATCCCCCCGCAATTTGTGTGGGATTGCAAAACACACATAAATTAGATCTTTGAGGGCAAAAAGCAGTGGTAGAGAGTGCTTTAGTAAGAATATCAGCACGTTGAAAGGCAAAAGGAACATGCTGGAGTAGAATAAAAAGAGAAGCCACCTTCTCACAAACAAAGTGTATATCAGTTTCAATGTGTTTGGTTTGCTGATGTTGAATTGGATTAAGAGACAGATAAATAGCATTAAGATTATCACAATAAAGTACAAGTGGAGAAGGAAGAAAAAATGGTAACTCAGCCAACAATTGCTGAACCCAAACTACTTCAACAACACCATTAGCCATAGCACGATACTCAACCTTTGCACTAGAATGAGCCATTGTATGTTGCTTCTTAAAAGACCAAAGAGATCTACCAAAAAAAAAAAAAAAAACAATAGCCAGAGGTAGATCAACGACTATCCAAACATCCAACCCAATCGGCATCACTGTAAAGATGTAAAGAAAGAGAAAAATCTTTGAAAAGCTGAAGCCCATACTGAAGAGTACACTTCAAATATTGTAGGATTCGTTTCACTGCCTGAAAATGATTCTTCGTAGGATTATGCATATATTGACAAACTTGATTGACAACAAAGGCAATATCAAGATGAGTAAATGTCAAATATTGCAAAGCACCCACAATACTACGATAGTAAGCAGAGTCAGGAAAGAAAGGACTATCATTAGTAGCAAGCTTCTATTTAGGAGTTAGAGGAGTAGACATTGCATGACACTCAGCCATACCAATGTGAACTAATAAATTAATAAGATACTTAGTTTGATTGAGGAGAAGACCATCAAAATTAAATTGAGCAGTGATTCCCAAAAAATAATTAAGGGTACCCAAATTTGTCATAAAGAATTCTACCTTCAAAAAAGACATAATCTTATCTAGAAATTGCTGAGTAGATGCAATCAAAATAATGTCATCAACATATAAAAGTAAGATAGCCAACACACCATTGGACTGATACATAAACATGGAAGTATTCGAACACGCCTAAGTAAAACTACAAGAAAAAAGAAAGGATGCAAACCTCTGAAACCAAGCATGAGGAGCCTACTTTAACCTATACAAAGCTCGTTACAATAGGCAAACATCATCAAGACATTTCAGATCAACAAACCCAGTTGGTTGTGATATATAAACAAGCGTAGATAAATAACCATTCAAAAATGCATTCTTAACATCCAGTTGATGAATAGACCAAGAATGAGAAATAGCAAGAGTAAGAACATTGCGAATAGTTACTGGCTTTAACACTGGACTAAAAGTTTCATCGTAATCCACACTAGGTTGTTGTGTGTAGCCTTAAGCAACAAGACAAGCCTTATACCACTCAACAGCACCATTAGCTCGTTGTTTAATATGGTAAACCCATTTAGAACCAACAATATTTGCATCAGGAGGTGGAGGTACCAAAATCCAAGTATTATTCTAAAGAAGTGCTAGATATTCATCATGCATAGCCTATTGCCATTTGGGTTGATGCTGGGCTTGCCTAAAAGTCTTCAATTCTTGTAGAGACACAGATGAATGAACCATAGAAGAAAGAATCCACGGCTTTCATATGCCCACTTGGGAACAAGTGATCATGCCATAAGTTTGACAACTAGCAATGACACCATAATCAACATGAAAGGAAGGAGCAGCGATCGAAGTGATACCAGAATGAGCACCACAATTGAGATCGGGCTTGGTGGAGACAAGCTCAAGTTGTAAAGGATTTGTTGGGGCAGAGGATAAAGGCATGAAATCAACAGAGGAAGCTTGAGATTTTGGGGAAATCAATTCAGTGGAGGATAAGGTTGAAGATGGAGAGTGATGTAAAAGTGATAGACAAGATGAGGAAGATATCCTGGTGCGTGTGTGGGTGGGTAAGGAGGAAATCAGAAGCTGTTGGGCTAGAGTTGGTGGGTTGATCTGTGAGGTTGTGGTAGGTGTAAGAGGTTGGGTTGTGAGATGGGTTGGGCGATGTAGTGGTGTGGGTTGGATAGTGAAATGGGACAATAGCTGAGAGAGAGAGAGGTAAGTCCATAAGATGAAAAATAGTGCAAAATTGATTTCCTAGGGCAGATTTAGATGTGGATGGAATTTGGTTGCTGTAAGGGAATGTGCTTTCATCAAAGGTAACATGGTGGGACAAAATGATTTTATTGGTCTTTAAATCAAGGCACCGATACCCTTTATGGTGGCTAGGATATCCCAAAAAAAAGTGTAAGGAAGAACGAGGTGCCAATTTATGCGTTGCAATAGATGAAAGATTAGGATAGCAAGCACATCCAAACACACATAGATGAGCATAAGTGGGTACTGTACCAAATAATGTCTCATGAGGCGTAGAAAAATATAGCTTAGAACAAGATAAAATATTAATTATATGAGTAGCAACATAAAGTGCTTCCACCCAAAAGGTACTAGGCAATTTTGTTGGGGAGCCAAAGGACATGAAGAACGAAGATGGATGCCATGTGTCTGAAAATAAGTAGCAAAATCTAAATTATCAAATTCATGGCCATTATCACATTGAAAAGCTTTAATCTGAGCACCAAATTGAGTGGAAACATAAGTAGAAAACTTAAGAAAGCTTTGAAAAAACTTGAGATTTAGAATGCAATGGATAAACCCACAGGTAATGACTATAATCATCTATAAACAAAAGATAATAATGAATACCAATAAAAAACTCAATAGAGGAGGTCCAAATGTCAAAATGCACTAAATCAAAAGGAGCAAAAGTAACAGAATAAGAGTCATTAAATGGGAGGCGATTATGTTTGCCCAACTGACATGTATGACAAAAGGTTGAACTAGAAACTCTATAACTTGAAGAAATAAAACCATTCTGAACAAGTCAATGAACTAAATTAGAATCAAGATGACCAAGACGGAGATGCCAGATATTAGGAGACATAAGAGCAGCCGGAAGAACGATTGGAGAATTGGAAGACATGCTAAATAGTGGATACAATCCCCTTGGACTATTGCAACAAAGTAGGACGGTCTTTGTTTGGATGTCCTTAATAGAGGAACTAGAATAGTCAAATTGAATACTACAATTATTTTCTTTTAAAAACTGACAAATAGAAATTAAATTTTTATGAAAAGATGGTGAAGCAAGAACATTATTTAGTATAAAAGAACAACCAAACTTAGAAAAAATAGAATGACGAACATGAGTAACGGGCAATAAATAACCATTACCAACTTGAATGACATTGGAACCAGAATAAGGTGAGGAAGTTAAGAGAGTACCAGTTGTGCTAAAAACATGAGTATTTGCATCGGGTCCAAAGTGCCAGGTACTATTTGGGTTTGTGGGAAATGCTGTAATAGTGAAAGTAGATGGAGAATTCTGTGATGGAGAGGCAAGATTTGTTCCATTCAAAAAAGGGCATTCACGAGCTCCATGAGTGGCTTGATCACACAGTTGACAAGTCAAAGTTTGTGGCATATTTGGAGGGCAAAAGGTACCCGTTTGCCCTTTAACTTTTCGAATTTGAGGGTTTTTACCCTCTATATTACAATACATGGATTTTTACCCTCAATATTTTCGAGTTTAAGGAAATGAGGCAAAATTTAACGCCGGACCGTCACGTGTAGCACGTGCACCGTTGGCCTCCGTCAAGTATGCACATGTCAGCGCCAACTCAGACTTTTTTGACAACTTGGCATGCTAACTTGGAACCCCATGAGCGAGAAGTCTACCTGCTACCAATTTTATTTGTGGGCCCCACCACTGACTAAAGGTTTGAAAAAAAAAAGGTTAAATCCTCCATTCAGTCCCTCAACTTTCATTTTTAAACTAAATTTACCCTTGAACTTCAAAATATTGTGACTTGGCACCAAAAATATACTTTAATAAATAAAAATTTCTTTTTTTTCTTTTTTCTTTCCTTTCCTTTTTTCTTTTCTCCTTCTCTTTCCTTTTCTCCTTCCCTTCCCTATTGGGTTCGAAGGAACACAGCATCAGTGCCTGGGTTCCTCGAACCCAGGCGCAGGTTCCTCAAACCCAGGTGCTGGGTTCCTTCGAAGGAACCCAGGGCCTGGGTTCAGGGAACCAGGCAAACCCAGCACGCCTGGGTTCGAGGAACCCAAGCCTGGGTTCGATGGAACCCGCGCCTGGGTTCGAGGAAGATAGGAAAGATGTGAGGAAGATACTGAAATGCAAGGACAGTGATGCGGGCCAAAGAGGTAATCATCCCTATATGCAACCAAATTTTCAGTATCTTCTCCTGCAATTTCTTCCTTTTCCCTGTTACCAATTTTCAAGATTTCATGATTTACCTTGTTCCATCACTGCAATTAGCTACTCACTCACTCCTTTTCTTATGGGGAAATCAAAGTTCACTAATTTTTCAAATTCCATCCCCTTATTTTAGATATTGTGTTGATTTTACTACTATTCACTTTTTTTGGGTATGGATTTAGGCCTTGCATGACCCTTCCTTCTCTTGAATTGTATGTTCTTAATTAGTGATTTTGAGTTTTATATAAATGTCTGTCTGCTTGCCTTTTCTTCAGCTCAGATCCAAGCATAATATGTTAGCAACTAGCAAAGGGCTACCCTACCTCGTCTGGAGTTTCATTTTTGAGACTCAAGATTAAAACTTTTTGCATAATCATTATCAACCCAACTTGGGTTTCAATACTAAGAAGCTTGAGTTTTGAGTGCCATCTTTACCCCTTTTGGGTTCTGTTTAGTGGAGTGGTTAAACTTTTTCCAGTAAAGTTAGAGTCTACCTTAAATTTTTCTTATCTAGTTTATTTATTTGAAACCAAGTATGAGTGCATGTGCATCTCTTGGATGTTGGAGGGAATAACATCTTTAAACATTCAGGAAGAGCTTTGGAAGATTTGCGAGCTTCTATATTTAACAAATTTCGTCCATCTGAAAGCGCAAAAACTCAACAGCAAAGAATTTGGGGTCTTGTTTCAGCTTTCACATTCAATTTTATGGTTACTGTTGGTATTATTTTCATGAACAAATGGGTTCGTTCTTTGTACCATATTATGTATGTGCTACTACTGGCTTTACATTTGACAGCTCTCTAGTGGTAATTGCATAGCTTGTTCCTTTTTGTTTGTGCAGGTTCTTAAAAATGTTGGGTTCCAGTTCCCAATATTTCTTACTTTTATTCACTATTTAGTAAGCTGGGCATTGATGGCTGTCTTGAAATCCTTCGAAGGAACCCAGGCGCTGGTGCTGGGTTCCTTCGAACCCAGTAGGGAGGGGAAGGAGAAAAGGAAAAAGAAGGAGAAAAAAAAGAAGGAAAGGAAAGAAAAAAGAAAAAAAAGAAATTTTTATTTATTAAATTATATTTTTGGTGCCAAGTCACAATATTTTGAAGTTCGAGGGTAAATTTAGTTCAAAAATGAAAGTTGAGGGACTGAATCAAGGATTTAACCCTTTTTTTCAAACCTTTATCAGCGGTGGAGCCCACAAATAAAATTGGTAGCAGGTAGACTTCCCGCTCATGGGGTTCCAAGTTGGCATGCCAAGTTGTCAAAAAAGTCTGAGTTGGCATTGACATGTGCATACTTGACGGAGGCCAATGGTGCACGTGCTACACGTGACGCTTCGGCGTTAAATTTTGCTTCATTTCCTCAAACTCGAAAATATTGAGGGTAAAAATCCATGTATTGTAATATGGAGGATAAAAACCCTCAAATTTGAAAAGTTAAAGGGCAAACGAGTACCTTTTGCCATATTTGGAGTGGGTAATAATGGCAATAAAAAGGCTCCATGTCCAGAAGGTTGCCAAGTTGAGGGATGCTGACCATCGGATGCATTAATTAAGGAATTTCCTCCACCAAAAAAAGATCCACGCCCATGATTACTAAGCAAACCAGAGGAATTTCCAAAATTTGGTGAAAATCCTCGTGCATCATAAGAACTCCGACCAACAATGCCGGAAGGATTGCGGCCATTCTTTCCACCACGATGAAAGCCACGACCACCATGGTTTGATCCATGATTAAATCCTCTACCGTACCCAGAAAAATTAGATCTAGAAGCAATACCAGAATAATAAGTTTCAACAGGCAAAGACCTCATATTTGGAGATGTAACTGAGACCTGTAATGCTTGTGGAGCACTTGGATTCACAAAAGCAAGATTGTTGAATGATTTTTCCCTTTGCATAGTTGCTTTTTTTATCAATAGTAAAGACTAAAGTTCCAAAAATGAAGGAAAATGGAGCCTTTGTGGAATAGTCTTTTTCAAGATATTATATTCAACATCTAGTCCACCAATAACTTGCATAACAATTTCTCTATCAATCAAAGACTGACCAGAACCATGCATATTATCAGCCACTTTCTTGACATATTGCAAATAACTAATCATTGATTGGCCAAGTTGTTTACGAAGAGAAATGAATTCTTGTTTCACATACATCTTTCGTCTTGCTAATTAATTTTGATAAGAAATCTGAATAGTGTCCCAGGCTTCCTTAGCTGAAAGAGTCTTACCTAGTTGAATTATCATTGGAAATACTTCAATAGAAATAGTAGCATGAATTCAAGACAAAATCTGAAAAATCAATTTGCATCCAAGCCTCAAAATTTGGACTTGTAGGAGGTGGACAAGGATCAATGCCATCAATATGCCCGTACACTCCCTTGCTCTTAAATACAGGAATCATAAATTCTTTCCAAATAGCATAATTTTCATGCGTTAGTGTCTCAAGGACAGAGGTCTTGATATTAGACACAATGAAAATAGGGTGAATGAAGATAGAAGAGGTAGAATTTGGATGTACAGTATTAGGGCTTGAAAATATGGGAGTACCGATAGTAGAAAGAGATGGTATAATTGGGAAATTTGGAGTGGTGATATTTGACGAAAGACTAGAAGAAATAGGAATTGAAAAGAACAAAGAAGATATTTGTTCAGAAGACGATGAAGCCATAATAAAGCGTATGAATAAAAACAAAGTAAGAAGACAAGAAAGAAAACCCTAGATTAAAGACTCATTGCCAGATGGAGGCTCTGACACCATGAAGCCATGAATGATTCTCATCTATTAACCAAGTAGGGTTGCAATATTTATAGTATGTATATACAAGTGAATGACATATCTACCCTCGAATATAATACACTGTCAAAAACCTTAGGCCACACGTAATTTGGTCTAAATAGACACATATAGCAGTGGCAGGGGTTTGAAAAGTTGTGTGTTTCAAGGGGTGATACACTTTGTAGGCTCTAGCTTCAATGGCTGTAAAGCAAAGTAATTTGGAAATTTCTTCAAAACTGGCTTTGTTGGTGATCTAGGAAATTGGGTTGGTTTTGAGGAATCTTTTCTTGGATCCCATAAATTGTTTCTTCTTTGTAGGGAAATCATGAATGAGTGGAATTCTTGACAATGGAGGCCGAGGGATGAATTTTCATTTTGTTGCCCAAGTGGATCCAAGAGCTACATATAATCCCTTAGGGGTGACTTCAAAATCAAATTGGTTGTCCACTATGGTTGGTGTGTTGCCCTATAAGGAGTCACCAACAGTTGTAGAAGGTCCAGGGATGTTTGAGTTACTCGAAGCCATGGATGAAGGTATGTAAAGACTCTGTGTTGCAATGTTCCTAAAAAAGGAAGAAATTCTTGAGTTAAAATAAAAAAGGAAAAAGTCGGAATGCATGTACAACAAAATGTGCTGGCTGAAAAAAAAAAAAAGTAAAAGAAAAGAAATCAGGAGGACTAACCTTTGCTACCGACTTGGGGATGGAGAAAGATGAATGAATGTGAAGTAATTTTGATATATATTTATAGTAGTAGTTTGGGTGGTGGTCAAGAAAAGGTAATATAGTGATTGAATCAATGTGGGTGACTATTTAGGTTTGGGCGTTATCTTTAAGAAAGATAAAAATATTTAGATAAGTATACAAATATTTGAAATTGTGATTATTTATGATTAGATATATTTTTATGAGGTGGTGAGTGTTATCTATATTAAAAAAAAAAAAAAATTTAGCCTTCAGCAGATAAAGATTACAAGAGTTAAATCTATTTCTTTTCTTAAAAAAAAAAAAAAAAACAAAGAGGGAGAGAGAAACAGATGGCTAATTTATTAACTCCAAGCCATCCAAACTTAAAGGTGAAGTTGGACCTGATTGGGATTACCTTTGCAAAGATGAGTAAGGTTTTGGAGTTAGTGGGGCTCTGGCAATTTATTAGTTGAAGCCTGCAAATTTATTTGGACTTTTAGGTGAAGTTTGAGTTTTTGGGATTGAGTTTGCTATATTTTTTAGTGGAGTTATCTAATATTTATGTAGGTAAATTTCTAGAACCTCTATATGCAGAGGTGTCTAATACCTTTCTAGGTAAAATTTTAAGACCTCTATATACGAAGATATCAAAGATCTTTACAGGTAAACTACTAAGACCTCTATGTGCAAAGCTATACTTAATAACTTTGCTGGTAAAATCCCAAGGCTTCTGTATCCAAAGTTATTGAACCCAAAGCTTAGCATAAAAAATTCAAAATCCTAGTGCTGGGATTAAATTTGAATTTGGGACCTCTATACTACATTTTGTTTTTCTTGGGTAACCGGTGGTTTTGGATGACATCATCAAAATACACAACCAATGTCATTGAGGAAAATAAAAGCTATGAAAAATTTTCGATTACTCTGACTTCTCGATGGGGGGTAAGTGTTGTAACTGTAACTCAAGATTGGAGGAAAATCAAGATCACGTGATCCAAATAGATTTTATAGAGATTATCTGCAGTTTTAAATTTAAATTATAGATAGGATTGGTTAGATGATGATTTGGAGAAGATCTCTAGGCAGAGGTTAAAAAGACCTCAGGGAATAGCAAAAAGGGTAGGAGACTGAATCTTAAACTCTATACTTCTTCTTCCATTAATGAAATCCTAGTGACTCCAATTGACTGGGTCATTTAAATTATTTTTCAATGTTAACAATTGGATAAAAGCATCTTAGAAGAAAGGACACTATTGCTGTGCAATTCATGAGAACCAACAAAAAATTATTGTTCTAACCTTTCCAGGATAAATTGCTTCACTTTCAGCAGCCTCAGATATCATACTAAGACCAATCCTAAAATCTCAACCATGGGCAAACGGAAAACAACGACCATTTTTAATATATCCAAAAAGAAATAAATCAGATAAAAGCAGAAGACAAACATACATTGATAGACTCTAACACCCACAAAAGACAAAAGCATCAATAAAATCCAGAAGGAAGTTGAATAAAATGTGCCTTTCGATTTTTGGAATAGAAAATGCAATGAAAATGAGTTATCAAAGGGTGGATGCTTCATCCAAGATATTGTAATTGCACCAAACCAGAAGTTCTTCTCCAGTCCGCGCTTGCACTTCGGGATGACCTGCAAAGCCCCGAGGTGGAACTCGGGGTAGACACTCC